ATCATAGCCGTAATATGCGGAGTAGGCGTGGTTACTATCATCTATTAACACACCGTTTGAGTAGGCGCTGAAAAAAAACTTTCTTAGCAAGTTTGGTTGATCTAGCTTTAGAGGTTTGTGAGATATGTATATACATTAAACCCAATAGGGGTTGTGAGCTACGCCCACTTTTTAAACTTTTTAGCCCAAATGTGCGCCGCACTGCTGCAAACCCCTGTACCTAATTCCATTTTTATATCTTAATCTGGAGCTTAGTGATAGCACTTTATAGGTTTTCGCTTAATGGTATTTTGTGGGCGTGGCAATGGACCGATCACGCCATTTCACAATGACGTCCTCCCATGTAACCAAGGAATGCGTGCACAAAGTTTCATGACAATCAATTTTTACTCAAGTTCCAACTTGCACAAACAAACAGGCGGACAGACAAACAGATAATTACTCGGATTTCTGCTGGTCTCTTCATCCTGATCATTAATATATATATATATATACAAGTATATATAACTTTATATCTATCTCGATTAGTTTTAGGTGTTACAAACAACCGTTATAAAAAATGTTTTTCGGTTGTTGGCAAGGTACAAGCCCTCGCCTGGCCATCGTTATTTAAGTGGAAATAGTTTTTGTCCAAAACAGCGCAACAAAGTAAAAGTAGTGTTTTGTTCACACATCATTTAAAAAGAACTCCAGAAGAGTCAAAAAATTAAAAGGGATTAGTATTGGAATGAATTTTGAATCTTCTTTGAATGACAACAACGTCTATTAAAATTACAACAACATACTTGCTTTGATCATTTTTCGTGTTGTTTTTCAAAAAATACTTGTATTGTGCTTATTGTGAATGATGTTGTCAGAAACCAAACGGAGTCAAGTTAGCTACTATATCGTGAGACCCCCTGTATTAAATTACCCTAAACGCTTTTTTAGCCTCATTAATAAGTTAGCTAAATCGATTTTAAGTGAGGGGAGGGTAAAATATATCAAAGGGCGCAGAGGAAAACTCAATTTGGCTCACAAGAGATCTATAAAGAGATTGTGTTGATTGAGCGCGACATTACAACCAAAAAATTGTTGATCCATTGGTAAATATAAACAATTTATAAATAATATCTGTTACTTATAGTCATATTAAGTGCATTAAGTTATTGTTTAGATAACAATCACATTGTTCACAGTCAAGATAAACATCTGCGATTCAATATTTTCCTAGCACTCAATAGATAAAGCACTTAGTTTCAATGCAAACAGTTTTAAAGTCACTGTAAACAAAAATATATAAACCTAATTAAGCTCAAGAGAAAGAGATACTTAGCAAGAGATTAAATATATTTTTTGGTAAATAAATGTTATGTTCTTTGAAATAGGAAGTTGCTTTTGCAAAATTACATACCTAAAATGAAAGAAAGCTGCTACTACAACTCGCACGGCACTTTTCCTTAAGAAGAACAATCCACTTGCGAGTCACAAGAAATGCGTTTTTTGTGATTTTTTTAAAAGACATTTTGTCATATTGCGTCATATCGTCATGTCATGTGGTCTTATTTTTCTATGACTGTCATATCAACACTGTTGTTGTTTCCCAACCAAAATTGAAATACGACAAATACAATACGGCGAGGTATGTTTTTTGAGTGTGCTATTCTATCAGCTGTATCTGTTTACTTTTTTTATTGTTGACGTTTAAGTGTCTAAAAATTAACAAATTAAATAAATTTCGTCAATTTCTTTAATAATATGGAAAGATCGTGGCTTCCTTCAGATAAATTAAGTTGAAGAAAAGTGAAATATAAAAATATTTTGTTGTTTCTGTGGTTGGAAAGGATTCTATTGCAGTGTAAACCAAAACGCCGCCGTTTCAACATACAGAAAGTTTTCTCATAAAGAAGCTTTAATTTTATTTTCTCACTTTTTTTTCTCACTTTCTCATGGCATTTTTGTTTTCTTAATTTTTCACTACCAGCTGGTGAAGTGTAGAAATTTTACACAATATGACATACAAGGATTAAGGGGTGCTTACAAGTGTCGTATTTTTTAAGCTATTGAAATACGACAATACGACATAAGACATGAGACAAAGCTTGTGAATAGCCTAAATATATTTTTAAAAAAAATCGGTTCTTTGAAATACACAAGTGGTTGCTCTTCAGAGTTGCTCAACGAAAAATCTGTCTATTAAGTTTGTAATCACATAGTATTTATTTTAGCTAACTATTCTGTCTATTAAGTTTGTAATCACATAGTATTTATTTTAGCTAACTATGTACATATGTATATAGTATAGTTTTAGTGCGAGCATTACTATCAGCTCAAAGGTTTATTACACAACGAGATAAGAATATTTCGTTTTATTCACTAATGCATAAAAAAATTTATTTATTTAGCGTGACTTATTTATGTTTACTTTTTATTACTTAAACTTAGATGGTAGTGGATTAATTTTGACCTTGACTTGAAGGAAGGTTAGCATTTAAATTCGTCTTCGACCATTATAAACAAATATAAACAAATACGTATTTGTTTATCAGCAGCGCAATTTTATTGACGTAATCAACAATATATTTGCACTATTTTTGAAATGAGAAGAAAATAGAAAAACTATTTTAATGAACTATGGCGCAAATTCCGGTGATTAGATTAAAAAAATCTTAGATTTATGTAATCTACAAGTAGGGGACTGTTTTGAGTTTATAAATAGACAATCGCAATCTACATTAGAGCAATATTGAAATTTTAATAACTACACACTGACATTATGATGTATATAAATATATGTAAATGAGCTAGACTGGAATTAATTGGTGTTATTACATTTGTTATAGCAAAAACAAAAAAATTTGTTATATAATAACAGTCATCACTTGACAAACAGGCTTGTCATTGTAATGCGATACTGGCAGGGTTGTATCTACAATAACAAAATCAGTAATAATAAAGTACTACTTTTTATACTCTGAACAGGGTATATTAAGTTTACCACGAAGTTTGTAACACCCAGAAGCAAACGTCGAATATCCTATTAATTATTTGTATATGAATCATCAGCATGGTGAGCTGTGTCCATTTAGCCAAGTCCCTCCATTTTTGAGATATCGATCTTAGTCTTACACATGTCCTTTTCGCCCCATGAAGCTGTTCATTTGCCGAAACCGCCGATATCGTACTACTATAGCATATAGCTGCTATACAGACTGAGCGATCAAAATTAAAATTGTTGTATGGAAAACTTTTATATTTTTGCAACGCATTCTAGCTTCGGTGCAACCGAAAAAAACGTTTTTTCTTTGTTTTTATTGTACTTATTTAACAAAGAAAGAGTTTTTATTTAGCAAACATTTTTCACATTTCGAAAAAATTCGCACATTTTGAAAATTATCAATCAATATTCAGAACATATTAATAACATAACTTACAAAAACACTTCGGCACTACAGCGGACTGGACAGTTTGATTGACAATTTTTTCACATTTATACCGATCGAATAATGTTTTTAGCACTCTGGGGTGTAAATCGAATTTTTTAAAATCTTGGATTTTGTCCTAACCACTGAACTATACAATCCTTACGAGTATATAAGGTATGTATGGTAAGAGTTTTAAATTCTCCGTTACCAATTGCTGTGGCCAAAAGATCAACGACTTACTTAATATAACTCAAACTATTTCAGTATAATTTCATTAAGTTGCATTGTAAATTTCTTCTCGTCCTTTAAAATCTTTCTATGGCCTTAAATACTGCATTTGAGTGTCATCGATATTCTTGTGTTACAATTAATGCCTTTAGTGCAGGATATCTGTACTCCAAGATCGTTATTGCTCATCTGCGATCAAGCAGCTATAGATATGTATACCATATATACATATAGATTTAGCTTGTAAATCTTGGTTGGAATAATCCTCACGGACAGTACGCTTATATCAGTGATTGGTCGTTGAACCGGTTCCATTTTTTTTTTTGTGAAAATAAATATGAATGATTGTACATATGTGTGTATGTAAACCTTGAAGAGTCTAGCTGGATTTTTCCATTTGCAAAAATACGATCGATTTGCCTCTATATTAGCGGAATATCTGATTTCACTACAGCAGCCTTTATATTATATTTTTGTCATTTACTACGAACTGTTGGTATTAAAAATTAAATACGGATTTAATGACATTAAAATAAGTACAATATACTTGTGGATTTAGGGGTGTTAATGCATTTTTTGATAAACCTACTTGTACTAGACTTTCAAATGAAGTATACTTTGAGCAATACAATACTTGTATTATCCGATAATGAGAAGTGTCGATAACACGCATAATACATTCCTTTAATGTGGTTATTAATTTATATCTATGTACTTCAGATAACAGGTCTATTTACAAATATATATCAGTATAAATATTTATGGAAACTGTTTACTACTATATACAGGTGTAGGTATTTTTTTATAACTGAAAACTACAATTTATTTTGAAAAGAAATCTTCTACATAAGCCTCTGACCGATCTAGTATATAATATTTATATTGGCATAATTCAGTTATGCTGTTTGCAAGCCTGTACCTAAAATGAAGTTTTTTTTGGATCCCGTTGTTGTTCGAGTAGTAATTTACTAATTTTGGCAACTATTTTTTTGAGTGCATTTTCGGTGCACGCTTTGAATATTCTTTGAGTGCAAATGTGCTGCTTCATGACTTTCCACTATCTCTCTATGTTTCTCTGATATCAGATAAGATATACATACGACTATTTTTATCTAATCAGTTTGAAGACAGAGCAGGCATATGGAAAATGCTACATGCCTTACATTTTCATTTTTTTCACGTGCTTAAGTCATTCAAAATGATATTCAGATCCTGGTCGAGGCATAATTTATTGTAAAATGCTAGAAATTTGTGGCCCTTCAACAGCTAATTAGAAACCTCCGACCAATTTTTTGCCTGAAATTGCTGTTCATATAATTCGTCTCTTCGAAAACGATTACAAATTTGTATAAAACTCTGTTCTTCGAACACACATTCCAGAAAAATTCCGTGCAGTTATGACATTTCGCAATAAACCAAACGTTTGCCTACAATTAGGCGCAGGAAGATATGTTTCATAGTGAAATTATCGACAATGTATATTAAAGGATGTTGTTGCCAGTGTTCAATTTTTACCAAACATTTTCTTTAATATGCTTCTTTCTTTTCACCAAATGCTACTTTTTCAATTTTAATAATGAAAGAAAAAATCTTTCTCCGTTGCTATAATTTGTATTATTAACATTAACAAAATTACTCTACATTTTACTTGTTACTATTCTCCTTTTTTGTTGCTTGCTTTTGGGGTGCCACTTGTTACATCATCTCCTAGATTACACTCATTGCGAAAACGTTCTTCACACACTGCGCCGTGCTTGCGAAATTCCTCCATTGTGGGAAAATGTGCAAAAAACACATCTGTTGAAAATAATTTCTTCGGCTTAGCCTTCTCTTTTCCTGATGCAGCCTCTTCGGTGGTGTTCGCCACCTTGCCCGTGACACGTTCACTCACCGACCTTTGCATGCCCCAAATAATTGGCGAACTCTTGCACATCAGCAGCTTCAGGCAACCACCCTGACCGCCGTCACGCTTCTCCACATACTCAATCATCTCCGTAATGCGATCTGTAAGCCGCGTATCCAAGGCATCGTCCAGCGTGCGGCGCATTCCCTCGTCCGGATTCTCCAGATACCAGTCGATTGGTGTACCGCCGCGTAAAGCACGCGGTTGATGTGCTTCCTGTTCGCCGTCACGCAATGCATCGGGCACGTCATCATCCTCCTCATTGTCGTATGGGGTGTGTGGTGGTGGTGATTGTGACGCGTATGGATTAATGCTGCGTGGTGGTGACGTAAATGCACTGCCTATCTGTGATGGGAAGAAGTGAAAGGCAATTGGGAAGTGAGTTGACAGAGCTCATTGGCAATCAATGTCGTTTCGATGCAATTTTCTCTCTTTCAAAAACATACGTGTGTGTTTATGTGCGTGGAGATTCTACTTACCGTCTGTGCAAACAACATTAACGCGTTTATCGCCAGTGCGCCCAATTTGGTTGCATCGAAGCCAATCATGCGCAACACACCTGTAACGAACCGACTCGTGCTGAACACCGTGCTTTTCTCCGCCTGTACCGACTGTTCGTAACTTGTATCCTTCTCTTCCTGCTGCGTTGCTTCCGTCTCGCTGCTCTCTCCGGTTGATTGTTTCTTTTGGAATATTGACATAAAATTCGGCTTCTTTTTGGCGAAAGCCATCGCTACTAGATTCGCCACGTCGGCAGCAGTGTTGATGCCTGCGAATGAGTTATGTTTGTTGCAAGTTGTTTAGAGTGCGCGGCACATATTGCATATACATTGAATTTACCAAACATTTGCCCGGCAAACTTCAAACCTTCGCCGAAATTTTCCACCACGCCGCGCTTTTGCTTATGCTTCTCCAGGTCCGCCCCCTTGGCACCGACAAGCAGCACAAGGCAAAGGATCTGCAAGCAGCCGATTTTTTTATAACGCATTATTTTATTACTCTCCGGCCGAAATTTCACCAACTAACTTCAGTCATGCCCTATGCAATACTGAATTTCCTCTTGCAATTGCTTGTGTGGTTTCAAATTATGCCAGAAAATTGCTTTTGCCACGGAATGTTGCACCCAGTAATGTACTAAATAATTGTTGTCACTGTTGCAATTCGGTTGTTGTTTCGTCACTAATGTGTTTTCTTCAAACGCGTGCTATTATGACTTAAGCGTGTTGTTGTTGTTGCCACTGACTTATCACTTGAGTGCGTTCAATTGTTGTTATTTGCCTCTTACAAGTAGTTTAATCGTTCCTTAAACTGATTTTTTGGCACAACATTGAAGCAATGTTGTTGGTAGAAATGCAATACCCAAAACCCGTAAGTTAATAACATTTTTACAATCTGGCATTTTGTTGCTTAAAGTTTAGGATGCTGAAAAGTTCGTATCTCCTAAAACAAAATCACATTTTTTTAATCCAAATTTGATTTTATTTCATTATATTGAAGTTGTCGTCAAGAGCGATACAGCATTATAAAAGATATTCCAACTTTTCGATATAATTTTGGAAGTAAAAGAAAAATTTGTTACAAAATAAACCTCAGCTGGAATATACTTCACTATACTCTTGAGGTCTGAGAACTGAAAAAGTCGCGGGGGCCAGTTCTGGAGGATACGGTGAACATAAAGGAAATTCGAATCAATTTGCTATTGTTTTCAGTGGTTTGAGACATAGGTTAGGGCTAGATAAACAGACTGATATTCCTGGGACCAGTGTCAAGCTGTTTCCGCCGCATCTTCATCCAAGGAATTTTGACAAGTTGCACCCACCAAAATCTTAAGGTTCACCGCGTGAGTGTCAATAGTCCACTATGTACAGTTAGAATGGCTAGAAATATAGTGTCTTGGTCGCCAGCTCGTGGGGCCGCACTTTCCACAGAAACAAATTTCTCGGCATTTTTATACCAATGATGACCTCCCTCTTCTTTTGTAACTCCTATTTAAGGTTTGTGCAGTGATTTGAAAAAATACTTTTTTGATAGTAACTGGAAGCGTATGGTCTAAATGTATTAACGAAATTCACCTCTTACTTATTAAAATTTTCCATGGTCCGATAAAAATCCGGGTCTTTTTCGATTGCGTAGATCCTTCTGTCGTGAGAAGAGTTCGCCTTTATGTATTTCACTATCGTATGTTTCAGAACCGAAGTCGACGAGCTACCGTTGCAGCATTACGGGAGGATCGTTATTAAAATAAATAAGTACAGTTGAAATAAATAAGAGAGAATAGTGTGTTTGGTAAAATTTCTGTGGTCCGTTTAAGAAATAATCACAGATTATTAGCGAATCAGTTACTTGTCTTTAGATATCTGCTGAGTAATTCAGTAACCCAGCCTTATCATCCCATGTAATTGATAGCAAGTCGTATTCACTTTTGAGGTTAGCATAAGGTTACCATTCGAATACTGTAATATTAATTGCTTTATTTAAAGCATATATTAACATAAATTAGATTAAAATAATCGTATTATTTTAAATATTTTACTTGTAGGTCCGTGGCCACCAAAGAGCGCCATCCGACTCCAAGGAATTTCACGAAGTCACCAAACGTGATGCACTGAAATCACTCGAAAATGACTTGCAACGCTTACAAGACACTGCGCCATCAGAGAAACGTCCGGAATTGCAGAAAGAAATGGCACGCTTCGCCGACTTATTCGGACGTTTTTTGCAAGAAGGTGCATTGAATAAATTAATATGAATTCGTTCGTGATTGTAATCAACTGCTTTATTTCATATTTACAGTGGGTCCCTCCATTGATTGGGATAAAATTCAAAAACTGCCAGCAAACGCCGTCATGGATTACTCAAAATTCAATTCGCCCAAAAACGAGCAGGTAAAAAACGTACTTTTAAACAACTTTTTGCATATAAACCTTTTATTAATTTCATATTTTTGTGTTATTTCCCTTTATAATATATTCTATTACAACTCTCATTTTTTGTGTGTGAATTGGTGAACCATTTTGATTCTGGTCTTTAATAGAACGAGGTAACAAATAAAAGTTGAAGTGTTGTGATATAAAAAGTTTGCATTAATTTAATGTTACCCAAACAAATGCTTAAATACATACTATCTACATATGTACTTTCTATGAGGTTTTATTTTTTAAACTGAATATCTATGTATGTAGTTAGTAAACGCTTGCGCTCTCTAATCTTTTATGGCTGCTTTAATGACAATAATACTTTATATACGCCACTCGATATTGTCGTATTGCATTCTTGAAGAATTTTACCTTTAAAATTTACTACTGATACATTTTTAAATGAAAAATTCTTTAACTTTACATTTTTTACTATTTTAAACACTAATTGCTTCTTATGAAAACCATCTACCAGCGCTGGTTTGCGGTTGTAAGTGTATTCTTTTCTTTAACTTGTAACTTCACCCTCCAAAGAGATCTCCTGCGTGACTTTATGTTGAAAAAGTGGATTTGGTAAATTAACCGATTGGTCTTAAATTTATATAAAATGTCAAAATTAAAAAATAATTCCAAATTTTTGGTCAAAAAATATTGACGAATGCTTCTTCGTTTTGTGAGTTCAACATAAGGACACTGGTTGTTAGCATTCGAAGCAACATTACCACTTTAATTCCTAATAATTTCCGGAAATATCACAATTGGCAAATTAGTATACAAAAATTCAAAAATGGTCGCTAAATGTATGCAAAAAAATTTCCTTAAAATGAATTATACTTTTATGCTTTATATATGAAAAATGGTTTTAAAACTACTTGGTAGTAATTAATATAATATATGTACTTGTATTTGGAAAAATTTGTAACTCAAAGCAATTTAATTTTTTTGGTACAAGGGTCTCGTCATTATATCATTTATATCTCACATGTACCATATGAAGAGTGTTGTTTTAGACATGTGGGTTTGAAGAAGAAATAAAACGCGTATAATAAGTGTTATCGCCAAAAATTTATCTTTATTATAAAATCACGGGTTTGTCATTATGCTTAAAAAAAACGGCAGGCGAGTAACCGCCGCGGTTGGCTTGAATAAATTCTAGCCGAAAGGCCCAATTTTCAACCACTTTTTACAGCATACGGAATATTCTCTTTCAAGGCGTCTATTGTTTCAGGCTTATCTACGTAGACAAGCGACTCACTAAATAAATAAATAACCCGACAAAAAATAGTCCAGCAGTGTTAAACCGAACGATATTGAATACCACGCTCACCAAAAGTTTCCTTTAATAAATTGAATGTTTCGTTGGCTGTATGACATGTGGCGCTGTTTTGTCGGAATCAAAGGCCGTCTACATCCACATCCTCCCATTCAGACACAAAAAAGTCACTGATTGTAACATTATGGCCGGGCGTCATTTTTGCAGAAATATGTACCAGTGGTTCCATCTGCACATAAAGCACACCAAACAGTGACGTTTTGAGAATGTAAGGGTGTCTTAAAGAAGGGCTTGTGGATTATAATCACTCTAAATGCGATAATTTTGTTTATTAGCGTGCCCATTCAACCAAAAGTGAGCTTCATCGCTGAAAAAAACTTTCTTGTGAAAATCGGGATCGGTGGCCATCTTGTTTTGGGCCCATTCACCGAATGTGCGATGCGCTCGGTTTCTCGGCTTCAATAAATATAAATTTGCACGACTTACAAAGTTGAAATGACAAACCATATTTAGTATACGAGTAAATAGACAACTGTCAAAAAGACCAACTCCGAAAAAAGTATTGCCTTCTTGAAAACCATATGTCTAAAAAACGCCATATATTTTCAAACAATTCATATATTTCTTTACATTTATGCATTTGCCTCATCTTGGATTATTTCTCATACGCTCACACATTTTCCGACAGCTTTGCATATATATATTTTTTTTTTTTTAACATATATGTTATTTAAGTTACTCAAATGTATGGCATATCTTCGACACAGATACGCACAATGTTAGACAAATTGGTGGTGGTCAAGTTGAATGGAGGTCTCGGCACTTCCATGGGCTGTCACGGTCCCAAAAGTGTCATTCCCGTACGCTCCGATCTCACTTTCCTCGATTTAACTGTGCAACAAATTGAGGTATGTTTAAAGAAAAAATTTTTTCAAAACTTAATACTAAAATAAATATCCATATCATTCATTTAGCATTTGAATAAGACCTATGATGCCAACGTGCCACTAGTGCTGATGAACTCATTCAACACCGATGAAGATACGCAGAAAATCATACGAAAATATACCGGTTTCCGTGTACAGATTCACACATTTAATCAGAGCTGCTTTCCGCGCATAAGCCGTGAATCGTTTTTGCCCGTTGCCAAGGAATTTGATGTGGAGAAGGATATTGATGCGTATGTCTTGTGTTTTTTTTTTTAAGAAATGTGGTTAATGTTTTTTTAAATTTCTGCCTCACAGCTGGTATCCACCAGGTCACGGTGATTTCTACGATACCTTCCGCAATTCTGGTCTGCTCAAAAAGTTCATCGACGAAGGTCGTGAATATTGTTTCCTCTCGAATATTGATAATTTGGGCGCTACTGTAGATTTGGCTATACTCAATAAATTGGTGGGTGAGGAACGCTCTGCTCAGCCGGTTGAATTTGTAATGGAGGTCACTGACAAAACACGCGCTGACGTTAAGGTACACACAATCAAATAATTACCTCTGATTACATACGCTCAATAAACATTTATATTCTTTCCTCCTAGGGTGGTACTCTCATTAATTTTGAAAACAAACTGCGACTGCTGGAAATCGCACAAGTGCCGAAAGAGCATGTAGATGACTTTAAATCCGTGAAAACATTCAAATTTTTTAATACCAACAATATCTGGGCCAAATTGGATGGTAAGCATGAAAACTCACACTGATTTTGCTTGTGTCAACTCTTTTAAAGAATGTATTGTAGTAATTACTGCTTTTAAACCAAAATGAGACATATTAAGTTAACCATCTTTCTGAAAATTTTTCAAAGCGCAGAAAGTGCGTATTTTCCCCCTTATTCGATCGTGATAAACGAATAAATAATTATATAGAATTTATAATAATAAAATTCCAAAGAGCAGTCAAAAGACAAAACTTCCTTGAAATCAACTTCAGCATAAAACTCGTAGTTCTTGTCGAACATTGGATTCATTCGCACTCTTTTATATTATATTAGGTTTAAAAAGACAAAATAAATCCACTCTCATTACAGTTGGTTTTACTTAACCGAAAAGGACTCAGATTTTTAACCTGTCAAGAACTGTCAAATAAATTTAAACAAACATAATTAGAGAATATAGATGTCGTTATAAAAACAACAATATCAATATAAAAGTTTCCTATCTATATTATTTTGTAGTGCTATATAAAAAGGCGATAAAATGTCGATTTCTGATTTCTTTATATCGCTAAAAACATTATATGGTATAGTTGAATATTATGATAGTCTACGTAAATAATGAAACAAGAAATTGTAACAAAGGATGATTCACACTAGTCTATCAATTTTAACCAACATTTTGAAGTTATTTAGATAACAGTGAATATATCTTACTTTATTTGCTTTAGAGAAAAAACTTTTAATTTTTAGATTTTAACTATTTCACTCTTTATACTTTTTTTATTGTAATATTTTAATACAAATCTGCTAAGACAATACAAGCATGCCCAACGGAGTAGGGTCATTTATTGGTCTAAAAATACTCATAATTTCGTAAATTTTGCGCGATGTTTAGACAGAATTTACTTGAGTTATTATGTTATTATAACATCAAATGGGATGGCTTTCAGTTCCTTCAGCGAATTTTAGGTTTTTCACATGGTATTGTACACTTGATCAGATGGTATTAGTAGTTCCATTTCCCTTTTCCACATCCAAAATATATATACAATAAATAAAATTCATGATGATAGAAAAAACTATGTATATTAACTGTCAGGAAGTTCTCTAATGAGTTTGACATGCATTAGTACCCATGGTAATTAATCTCAATAATAATTAATTTTTCTGTCACTTCCTTTCACCTACTTAGCTATCGATCGTGTGCTCCGCGAACGTACACTCAATATGGAGATCATTGTCAACAACAAAACAATGGAGAATGGTGTGCGTGTCGTGCAATTGGAGACAGCCGTTGGTGCCGCTATGAAGTGCTTCGATGGCGCTATCGGTATCAATGTGCCACGTTCACGTTTCTTGCCCGTCAAAAAGACCTCCGATTTACTGTTAGTCATGTCGAATTTATATCATCTGAAGAATGGTAGTCTTGTAATGTCACCACAGCGCATGTTTCCCACCACACCACTGGTGAAATTGGGTGAAAATCATTTCTCGAAAGTGAAAGAGTTCCTCGGCCGTTTCGCCAATATACCAGATATCATTGAGCTTGATCACTTGACCGTGTCTGGTGATGTAACCTTTGGACGTGGCGTGTCGCTTAGGGTGCGTATTTATTTACTTTAACATAAATGTATGTGTGTATAATTTGTATTTTGGTTTTATTTTTGCAGGGCACTGTCATTATTATTGCCAATCACGGTGATCGTATTGATATACCGGCTGGTGCCATTCTCGACAATAAGATCGTTTCCGGCAACATGCGTATTTTGGATCATTAGACACATAACTAGTCGCCGATGCTGTTCAAAAACAACGCAAAGACTTCCTTATGAGAAAATATCAGGAATTAATGCGTAGAGTAGACAATTGCATACTTTTATAAGTCAAATTCAGGTAAAAAGAAAAAAAAAACAAAGTTGACTAGGTTATCATGCAATATACAATAAAAAATTAGAAATATACTGCAAATCAATGTGCAAGCTGCAAATGCTTGTATGCATTCGTTAGTGCTCATATGGAGAAATTTAAATTGTTTGAAACTGTTCTGTCGTTACTCGTAGTGTTTAATCGAAAAATGTATAAAAGATATTATGTTCGTTTTAAGTGCAATTAAGAATTTAAAATTCCCAAAGTTTATTTTGTAAATAAGTAGTATACTTAAAATCGTACGATTTATATAGTAGTGTTACTTCCTATTCTTTTTTATCTCACCGCGTTTTCGCTTGCCCAATTGTTATTTTATTTTTTAGTTATTGCCTTAACTGACATTTAACGGTGTACTTTTGGCTTACTTTGTAAGCCGAAATGTAAAATTTTTAGACTACATATTAAAGTGGCAATTACACACACATATACACTTACAATTATGTATGTATATGCTTCGGCGTAGGCTTCGCAAGCAAAATGCAAAATATACTTACGGTCGATGAGAATATATATTATGTATGCATACCTAAACTCAGATTGTTGTACAATTTTTAGATTAAAATAAAAGGCAACATAAAAATATTACAAAAAAAAAGTATATTTGCTTTAGGGTTTTACATAATTTAAGTAATAGTTTTGTTGTGACATGCCAATGTGGACCTGTTAGAAGTCGCTACTTTTACTCCACATCCAGCAGCGTTTTGCCCGAACTACAATCATCCATATACTCTTCCTCTTCACTGAACAGCGTCTCGGCGAAGGGTCCAAATTCCATGTGCTGCGACTTGGAGCAGCCCCATTTCATTGCTTCTTTGCATGTGATATCCAAATTGACAGTGAACTGATCGCGCGGCCACTTTGTTGGCCACAGAAAGTCGTTTGGCTCCTCGAGGCAGGAACGAAAAAGTGAACAAATCTTCTTCGAGCCATGTACGGTGAAGGTAAAGAGAGTTTTCGGCACACGTTTGCAATTGCTTGTATCGTTGCCGAAAACGTAGACCTCATTGAGACACTCCCAAACTCGTCTAATTCGTAAAATAAAATTATTTCGTCATACATTTCTTTTCATTATCTTTATTTTTAACTCACTTGAAAGCCTTCCCCGTTATATTGGCCATTAGCATTTCGGATAGAATTATCAACAAGTTGCAACGCTTTTCTTGTTGATCTCGCGCACGTGATTTCGACGTCCAAAGCATTCCCAGCCAGGGACCTTTAAGCTCAACCACTATGCGACAATGTAACGGCATTGCGGTCGAGATAATTGAGGATTTTCCGAATTTCTATAATTAAACAAACAAAAAAGAAAATCATAGAGGCGCTGAAAAGTAAGACGTAAAAAGTAGTGTGAAATTTTGAAAAAAAAAAAAATTATTTGCCAAATTTGTTGAAGGTTCCTCCAAATTACTTAAGGGACGTTTCCTGCCACCACAACAACAACAATAACAATAAGAATCTATGACAAATTTTGAGAATATATCTTGTCATAAAATTTTTTTTTCTAGGACATGATTTTGATCGTTCAGTTTGTATGGCAGCTATATGCTATAGTGGTCCGATATAGGTGGTGACGACAAATGAGCGGCTTCTTGGGAAGAACGCGAAGTCTGCAAATTGCAGATCGATATCTCAAAAACTGAGGAATTAGTTCGCGTATATATAAAATATTTTAATTGCAACAGGTTTAGATCTTCAGTTTAAAAAAGAAAGGTTCATTCTTGCTTCACAACCCAAAATGCGGTTGCTTTAAAGGGACTGGATTTTTCAAATTTATTTATACTTCAGACTACGAGAGCGTCCGGTTAGTACACATCCTCATCGCTTAAGGGCACCACTTGAGCAATGATAGAGGCCGTGTACGTAGTTTTTAGAAAAATGGATAAATAACAGTATTTTAATGGTTTAACAAGTTTCAACATGGTCGCACAACCGGTTTTGTGCCCGGGTGACCCGAAATCGGCCACCACGGAAAATAACGAGATAAAAGTGCACGATTTCGTGTTGGCACAGCGCTAATTTAAGATTCGCCAAATATCTGAGACAGTAGACATCTCCAAAGACGCCATAGGTCTCTTTTTGCATGAAATATTGAGCTTGAGAAAGCCATCGGCACGAGCAGACCGCATTTGCTCAGTCCGGACAACAAGCACAACCGTGAGACGCCTTTGAAGCAGTGCTTAATGTTGTTTAAACACAATCCGTGTATCGTTTGCTGATATGATGAAATATGGAATCACTGGAACACGACAGATTTGAAAAACTTCACTTGGCGCATTTGCTCCGAAGAAGTCGAAAGTTGTTCTCTTCCCCTTTTTCTGAGATGCCGAAGGTGTGACCTACATCGACTACCTAAAGAAAGCCTAAACGGTGACAGAGATCTACTTTTATTATGCCGAAGAAAGTAGAGCCATTTTCGGGAAGAAAATATTCCTGTTCCATTAAGAACACATATCGCTTCACATTTCCGCCGTCCTCAAGGCCAAACTAGTCGAATTAACCTACGTACTGCAGCCCGGGTATTGGATTGTGGGCCTAATAAATAACTTAAATAGTGCGGGTAGTAAAATAATTTGTTGAAGTTATGTGCGAGTCATATGCACAGTGCGAAGTCAGCATCAGTAGAACTATCACAAACGTAAACTAACCTTAAAAAATCGCATTAAGGTCAAATTATACAGTAACCGTGCGTGTTGAGATCGTCGATCGCCGATCAGCTCATCGACCATATCGTAAAAGTGCAATAAGAAGGTATTAATTTGTAAAACTTGTGGACAGAAAGGATCCTTGTAAGAGCTGCGCAGCATTGGCAGTATGCAACCACAGAAAGTTGACTCATATCCCGACTTCACATACACCTCCGTTGCCTGTTCGATGGTTTGCAACGCCGCACATTCGTAGCTATTCGGATTCGTAAGAATAGATCTATGCAAAGCTTTTCTGAACTCGTGCATAACGAAAGCATCGTTGACGTCACGCATGCGCTTAGAGGTGCCACGTATGCGATTATGATGCCAAATATTTATGTAGCCAATGATCTTCTCCAGCAACTCGATGGGGAGGTCGCACAGATTAAGTGTTGAACTTGCATTTTCCTCGCGATGACGAGATCTCAGTTGACGACGCGGTATCTTAACGACTGGTTCATCGCTGCCCTGAACATTGGCGGATGTGCACTTTAATTTTGGCATACCAAAGTGGTAGTAGACGATGATTATGTATATAAATGGAATAATTTTGTGCTTTTGGATTGGAATTTTAAGATGCATGCGAAGAACGTGAAATGTTCACAACTAGACACACACACACACACAAATAAACACACACAGAAATTTCAATTCAAAAATATTTATTTAATGAAAAAATTATAGAAAAAATAGTTGGTTTCAAAAATTTTGAAGCAAATTACTTTTTTAAAATTTTGTAAATGCCTAAATTGATTGTCACTTTTGAGAGGTGGTAATTACAAAATCTGAAATGTGTAGGTATGTGTTTTCTCGAAACTATATCTATAATTGCTTGGAAGCCCTGATATGAGTGTGAATAACTCAATTAAAATGTTTTTGAGTTAAATGTGTTTATACATCTACAGCATAACTTGAGTAAAAATTGAGATATGGTTTCGTAGATGAGCGTAATCGCACCACTGCCTCGCCTACAAAATTCAATTAATCGAAAACCTATAAAATGTATACCTGCCAAATCATTGAAGCGATAACCTCCAAATATACACTGAACAAACAGTTTTGACAGCTCTTACGACAGTGTGAAAATAGGTGAAATTGGATAATAAGCCTGCCCACTCTCCATATAACGGTTTTGTTAAAATCTAACGAAGAAATCGGAAATGAATTACAATCAAATTTGGTACGAAAATTATACTAAAATCATCCTCAAAGGACTAAGGCTAAATTGAATACCTATATTGCGTTGATGTTAAAAATGTCAACCAAAGGATCGAAATTCAGTACATTATAAGTATAAGAGATTAAGACCAAGACCAATTTCATTTGTATTGAAGTATACAGGTGGAAAACGGATATCATTATATAGGATATATTGGGGTTAGAGAAATGGCTGATTGTATTAATTTTTGACATTGCTCACGTATACTTGGGAACTTATTCTGAAGCAATTTTGTAAGTATATATATATGAACATATATGTATATGGTGGTTGCTGGTTTTTTAATACAAAAATTGGATTGATTAATTATTTAGCAATTATAATTGCACTTTTTATTTTAAAACTATACTTACAAACAACTTTATTCGTTTCGAGTAGTTTTTTAAAACTAGCTCATAGATACCCCTAACATTTGAATCGAATACTCGTATACTACATAACTAATACAAACAGCAGGCAATACTTTGGCTAAATTAATGAATAATCCACGATATAATCCAGATAATCCTTCGTTGGCGATAATCGATTTAATTAATTTAATTGTTGTTAATCTACTCACAGGCCGCTTTGTGAAACCGGTGCGAGGTTCAGTTCTTGGAACAACTGCAAGAGATTAAAAATATATTTATATGAGTTTAACAAAAGACGAAGGTAGCTAAAATACCATTCAGAAGTACATTATATATGTAAAACTAATTCTGAAAAACTAACTGGTCACTGGCTCGCTTACAACGGAAAACATTTTGCTAGTTCGTTCTAACCACATTGTTTGATATACACAACATTCAAGTTGTTTAAATGTTACTTAATACGGAAAAAGATCTTTTATGCATATCTTTAGCTGAATTTTGATCTGTCAGTTTGCATGGCACATATATATGCTATAGTAGTCCGATATGAATTTTTTCGGAGACTATAGCATGAATTTATCATTTTAAACCAAATGATTACCATACAAGGACTTGATTTTGATCGATAAATTGGTATAGCAGCTATATCTTATAGTGGTCCGATATCGGTGATCCCAATAAATAGGCAGTTTCTTGGGGAGAAAAGGACATGTGCAAAATTTCAAAACAATATCTTAAAAAATGAGGCACTAGTTCGGGTTTAAACATACTGGCAGTTGGACAGACAGATGGACATGGCTAAATCGACTCAGTTCGTTACGCTGATCATTTATACATATATTTATATACCTTATAGGATTTTAAATATTTTCTTTTGGTTGTTATAAAGCTCATGGCAAACTTAATATACCATAACTATGAGCTTTTCCTCGTACTCACTTTGAGCTTGAATCCTGGTACGTATCAAAGAGCAAGGGTATGTAATTAGTTGACCCACTGCACTTGAAATCGCTCCACAGACTAATAAAATGACTGAATTCGGTTGCTTATTTGTTTTCTCAGCGCTTAAATACTTTTTCAAAGTTTCATATAGCGCCAAATCTATACCGGCATAAGGTAAGACACCTAGTAAATTAATTGTGTAACCATTGTAAAAACTTCGAACGCCTTCGGTTAAGTAAATATTTTTAACTAAAGATATTAATCCACGATGCTCGCTGGTTGTGCGCAATGCTAGACGGGTCTTCAAGACATCGAATGGATAAACGGTTGTTTGTGAAATGCTACCAGCTATGGCACCCGCAATGAATCTTTCACCAATATTCATTTCATCTTGCGATGACTTTCGTTTTATTTTGATGTAATGCTTCACTTTCTCGTAGATTGTGAATTTAATTGCCGAATCAGAACCGATTTTTAAAACATTAACACCATTACCACGCCACATACTGCGTATGCCACCGGTTCGAATCATATAATTCGCGCTATCAAATATGGTAGTTTTCCGAGTTTGAACCTGCATACCGAAGCATTATGCAAAAATTATTGGTGATCATACTGTTTTCACCCATTTTATACCTGCATATATAGTTTTATCCTGTCAATCGGCGCGGTGCTTGTACGCGAAATGACTCCGGCTACACCACCAGCAAGGGAATGACGCCACCAACCGCCTTCTGCTTTCGATGGCGCATCCGAAAACTCATTAGGAACTTGAATATTATCAGTCATTGTAATCTGTCGAACTTCTTGTAAAAGTATAAATAATTTATTTTTATTTTTCAGATGAAGTGACAAATACAATTTTCTGTGTTTTGAGTTTGTTTACATTTTGAATAATGACTGTCTAAGGCTTTCAATATCAGTCAGATATTTCGAAAATAAAACATAGAATAAGACACATCCAGCATAGATGGCCATGGGATACAAAGTGCAAAAGCGATGTGAGTTTATTTTAATTTATTATAAAACCTTTATTGCTGTAGAGGTTACTTTTAAGAATTAGACATTTCTCTCCGCTTATTGAACCGCACTGAACCAAAATTGATTCATAGTAATTCCTTGGCTATGTCGGGGTACAGCCTATTTCCCATTTGATTCATCATTTCCTACTACACCAGCATGCGGATGCCTCTTTAAAGTAGTATATCCTATATCGTTATCTTCAATGCTACTAAGTTTCGTTTCACACACTTTAGACCAGTTTTACAATTTCCTCTCAAAAATGAAAATACGTCTGTATTATTTGATTTGTTGTTTATAAAAACATGAACCCGTGGCCGATCTCCAGGAGGACCTCCGAAAAAAGGTATCTGGCGGTGATTACGATTTTTCTGCTTAAAATTATCTCAAATCCGAAAGCCAAAGAAATGTATTATATCTAGAGATAAATAAAGATAATGATCGAAGCACTAGTCAAACTTTTAATTTTTGACAAAATGGCGGCTCTTCAAAAAAGTTCTTCTTTTGTAAAACAATTTAAACTTTATAGTGGCTTAAAAAATCGAAATTATTATCGCAAATCGTATTCCTTCGAATATAACCTACACAAAATTCTTGCAAATAAGCGTATATCTCCGAAATAAAAATCTAAATTTCCGAGGAAAACTCTTAAATATATGTATATATATTCGATATACGAGGTGTGTTCAGTAAATAATTGAAACTTTAAAATTTCGCAGGTTTGAAGAGTTCAACTGTCAAATTTTTTTTATAAAGTGGACATCCATAAATTTTTTGCAGCTCAGCTGTGTGCTTACTTTGTCTGTAGCATTGTATAAGCCTAGATTATATTATAGATTGTAGATTTATACAATTGTCTGTAGCAGCCGCTAAGGTTAGACCTGTTTTCATAGCTTGGCGATTTTCGTTTGTTAAATGAAATGGATCAAAGATTCTGTGTTACCGATGTTAAAAGTGAAAGCAATGGTTATGAATGATCGCCGAACTACAATCAGAGAAGTCGCTGATGATGATAGCATATTGACTGGCTTGTGCTATGAAATTTTTTCGAATGTATTGCATATGAAACAAAATCAGCAGCGAATGGAAGTTGCTCAGGGATCACTAAATGAAGTCAAAGACGATGCATATTCAGTCCCAACCTGCATATTCGCCTTTATTTATAAAAAGAACCTTAAAGGGCCGTCGTTTTAAAAACATAGATGCCATTAAAAGCGCATTGCTGAAAAAGCTAAAAGTTATCCAAAAAATCGATTTCATAAGTGTTTCGATGATTGGAAGTAGCGCTGTCAGAAGTGCAAAATATCGAATGGCGACTATTTTGAAGGCGCCAACATTAATGTAGACAAATGAATAAATATTTTTTTCAAAAAACCAAAGTTCTCGTTATTTTCTGAACAATAACGAATTTTTGAAATTCACAGGTGGACATAACCCGTTAAGTCATTATTTTACAAATAGTTCAACATATACGCACAACTTAGTTTTAAAGTAAATATTTATTGATTAAAATATTACACAACTATTACTTATCATTTAAAAAAAATAGTAGAATCTAAGTATAATTAATTCGCCAAAATCAATAATTCAAAAAATCGATTACATCATGGAGAAAACGTTTTTCTTATATAAGTATGTACGAGCTTATAAATATATGTATACATATATATTTACACACACAAGTAGTTACTCGAATTAAAGCTTCTAAGATCTAAAGGACCTTCATAAATAGGAGTATATCTATAAACTGAGAAAATATTGCGTCTAAGGATTAGAAGATATGTTAATATATATATGTAAGTTAGTGTATACAATATATTCATATTTTATTGCTAATATTTTCAACGTTTTTTTAATCATTTACCAGAAAAAGTAAATAACTTTTGGTACATAATTGTATGAATCCTTTATAAATATTACATGGTTGTTTATAATCGACAAAATTATATATATAAATGAGGATATAATATTTGCGATTTAAAGAAGATTTATGATTTTAGTGGTTATTAATGGTATTGAGTAAATTTTTTAAAATCATCAATTAATCAATAAATCAAATATTAATAACTATAATTTCTGTTTAAGACAAATATTCTTTATTTGGTCATTGCTGTGTTTGGGAATAGTGTTGAATGATAAAAACCACAATAAACCCGAGTTTGTGATGTACTAGTTTAGCATACCTTATGTGAGAATAGAAAATTGTTAATGAAATTGAAATAGAATTCAAAAAATTCTTCGGAAGATTGTTTCTCTGTATGAACATTTAGTTTCAAACGACACCGATAACGTCCATTTAAAATTTGTTTACCTAACCTTACCAAGCTTAATTTTGTTCAAATAACATCCTTGAATTTTGCATAGTCTACAATAGTTTAATATATGCACTTTATCAGCTTCTTATCGTGATTTTGGTAGATCACCAGGAAGTGGGTAAAGCGTTAATTCAATCATTTACATTTGAGGCTTTCGGGTTCACCAACTTTTATAGCGAGATGATGATTTTTAAAAAATCCATTTGGGTGAAAGAACATTAACTAATTTGAAAATTTTAAACATGAATTCAATTTATCAAATACTGAACTTCATTCGTCGAGCAAAATAAAATCACTTCTTTGTCAACGTACTATGTAGAATGGTTCAAACAAACCTGTATTCAAATTTATAATAATAATTTTTATTAAATAAAGAAGTACATAGTGAGTTTTAGAACACTTGGGGGTTGTTTTAGATTTTTCATTATTTATATATGTAATTAACATACATATGTACATGGGAAGATAAAAGTGTATTTTGGTAGTGTTAGCATAAGATCTTTTCAAAATTTAGTATAAAATGGCATTAGGGGTAGGTATAAGTATTTATAATACATATGTGTGTATATAAAAAGTCAGTATTAGGGTGTGTAAAATTCTGGAATTATGATTTTCTAAATTCTTTACTACAAATCACTACATATTTACGAGTACATATTTATAATAAAGTAGTACAGTTAGTCAAAAGTATGTTTTTTCTTATTGTGCAGTCAGTTCTTTTCTTGAATTTAATTTTATAGTGCTATATATATTTTTTTTGCACATTTATACGAAGAAAGTGCTGAACTATTTGGTGTATATGGGTGATCTAATATTTCTAGAGAGCGTAATCTCGTATAATCCGACGCGATTTTGTCTCCATCATGTTCTAGTAATTTATACCATTTTCCCTGTTTTAATACTACATATGTACAATTTTATTTACAAACCAGCTGCAAAAAAAAATAATAGTAATTTTAAAATTATAAACGACTGTAATAACAATAATCGACTAGCCACTTTTACTATATTTAAGACAACTCAGTGTAATATATTTCTACAAAGTGCGTTCCATTGCATTTTAAAGAAATTTTGTTTACATTATTTACAGATCCTAATCTCAATTATAAAGTTACCAAAAAAGGAACCACCATTTTAATAAAATTTTTCTTAGGATTACATAAAAACATAAATTATGACGTTATTTCAGCCAAACAGGATGAGAATGCTCTATATATTTATTTAACGTATTATAAAGGTTGGGAATTTTTTAATTAAAAAGTTTTGGATTAAAAATAAAATTTTAATTTTTTAATCCCGATGCTGGGATTAAATGCGTTAATGCATTATTTGCAACCCTGCGTATAATACCAAGGAAGAATAGGTGAACTACAAACACTCCAGTCCCCATATAGTTTCATCTTGAATGTAATCAGCTTATAGAAATTTACAAAAGATAACTCTAAAGAGATATCGAAGGAAACCTTTGCATATCTCGTATCACTTTCTCTCAAAAATTAAAGCAAATGAGATTGAATCGTTCAGTTGTTTTTAAAAATAGTTTGAATTGATTATTATACGAAATATTTGTGGTAAAAATTTTAAGAGATTAAAAGTGAATCATGTAAAATATAATAGTAGCTAAGTATAAAATTTTCTCTCTCAGCGTAATTGATTTTTGTAAATTAATCGGACGATATTCTGAACTCTATCATCTTGGCAAATATTTTGTGTACGCAACTTTATACCTGTTATATAACTAAAAAAATAAATAAATCTTCAAATTAAGGATTTTTGGTGTAAGTGTAACCTTTTTTATAGCAGTGATATCTCCATGACTAAGTTATACACTGCATGTTACATAAAATGAGAGCTACCGATTGTGAGCATTCGATTCGAGCTCTTATCCATAAGCTTTATATTGTAAAGAAGAACAAAACTTTGTTATTATTGAACAGAGAAAATTAGAAAAACTTGATTCCCTATTCAAATCGTTAATATATGTATATATAAAAAAGTGAGCTATCAATGATGGAGGCCTATATTCCGATTTTTGGATTGATATATGCCCGCTCTATCATCGTGTGAGCTACTGGGAAGACAGCAAGGTTATTATCCGTTATTGTTCATAGCATGAGAACAAAGTTTGTTTCTGAGATACATATGTGTATAGATAATATACATTAGAACGATATAAAATTTATGAAGAATTTTATTTACAAAATATACATATGTAAATTTCGCCAATCTTCCTTTTCTAAAATGTATTGTGTTAGATCTCCTCTCTCTCCTAAGCTCCGACGCACACCATAATCGAGTGATCTTCTTGTTTTATTGTAGGATTATAGTACACCCCTATTACGGTTTTCAACTCTGCTCAGTTGAATTGAGGTTAAAGCAATTTAGCTTCAGATCAACCAAACCCTTTTCTGGTATTACAAACTTCAACTGTTTTCAGTCGAAGATTCGTGAGTGTTGTCAAACTAAAAAGTGAATATGAATATTTGACACATAAAATGTTTATACGAAAAATCAAAACAATTCAATTCAGTTAGTGCTCATGAACGGTTGGATAATTAAAAAAATGGACATTAGTTTTGATTTGTATTTACGACGACAAAAATGTTCGGGCCAAAACTGATACGCTGCACACACTAAATGCTTTCGGTATCCCTCAAATCCATTGGAACTTCCTAACACCAAGTAAACTAAAGTTTTATTGACAGTCAGTGGCTTTTAAATAATGTTTGTACCAGATTCATAAGTTATTTTCGCGTAAGTAAGGAATCATTACGATATTCATGGTTGTTAAGTAGGAATTAAATATTATGAACACCATATTTGTGCGCAATGGATTAAAACACAAATGACTCAGGTTGCTCCTCCTGCTCCTCCGCTTTACATTTTAAATTTTACTCCAAAGTGTATTCCTAGGAATAGTAGATTGTATCGACTTGTTATGTTCGGTTCTTTATTTTACACGGTCCCCTCATTCTATTTTAACTGATTCCAAATCGTGGCTTGCCTCGTTTAGTTTCGAGATATTCTTTCCCCATGAGCTCAACAAATTTTTCACCTTTATATATATTTGTCAAAAATAACGGTTTAAAATATTTAAATATTATATGTAAAATAGTTTATTTACCCGTTTTTAATTTTCTATTAATAGTTTCCCTAAATAAACGCAGTAATGTTCTACTGCAACTGCTTGGTAACAGTATAAAGTTTGCCATGAAGTTTGTAAGTCCAGTAGAACATGTCGGGTACCCTATTAAGTATATATTGTATGTACAAGTATATAAGTGATCAGCGTGACGAATTGAATCGATTTAGCGATGTTCATCTGTCTATCTGAATATACGCGATATACCTAGTCCGAGTTTTTGAGATATCGATCTGAAATTTTGCACATATGCCTTTCTCGTTATGAACATGTTCATTTGTCGGAACCGTCGATATCGGCCCATTATAGCATACATATTTTTATAAAAGATCAACTTTCCTTAATAAGTAACTTTAATTCGACCAGAAGGTTGTATATATCACGTGGCTTGAAAGAGCTAGCGAAACGTTTTCTGTTGGATGCAAACCGTGTGTTTACGGTTACAGTTACGTTTTCAGAATTAATTATAGGTAGTTATAATTGCTACAAGAAATACACCAATGAAACCTTCGGTGCTAACACCCAAAAGGAGAAAATACAATTTTTTATAGTTATATTGCGGCTAAATTGATGAAAACCGCACTTTAGTAGGGTATGTAGATTTTAATGACCAATTATAGGTACTTGCATTTATTATTTTTATTTAATTAATTTTCTGTTCTTTGATTTCTGTTGGAACGCACTATGCACTTTGCAAAAATAGTGAAAACTAACTGTTTTGTACAAATTCAAAATAAAATGAAAACAAAATTTTAACTTAAAATTTTATTAAAGAATTATCATTATTTTACAAATACAATTAATTTCCGTTTAGATAAAATGCAGCTTTGCCGTCCCTACTGGAATTACAACAATTTTCGAACGTGCACAAATTTCATAACAACAAATTAGAGAATTCCCTTCATCCAATACAGCACTATGTTTAACATTTTTCCAGTACTTATGGAGACGCTTGACTTGTTTTCGTCATTATTTCGCCCTTTTTCTTTCTACAGAGTAATAAATACTTTCGATTTGCACACAAAACGCTTGCATTGTCTTAAAGTAAGTAAGTTTCTTATAGGCAGGTGTGTGGGTATATTTGCGTTCATATGTATTGAAGTGTACATGTATATAATAGTAGATTTGGTGATGTATAAAGTTGCATTACAAGGCGATCGACGCATAATTTTCACTAATGACTAATTACAAAAAGATTTTTCAATAGATTTATTTTCTGATAAATAGCGTCGTTAATTAATAAATTTTCCTCTACGGACATTTTCATAAATGCTTAACACTTAAGTACATATTATATTTATATTTATACAAATAACATTTTAGTTTATGTATGATTTTTTTTTTTTTTTTTAATTTTTACTTTGCATTTAAAGTTTTGTTTGGCGTAGTTTTAATTAAACGGTGCATATGGTCTGCTATACATTAACAAAGATAGTTGTTGATTTTAGAATTTCTGATGTATAATACAATTTCAATGGAGTTAATTGGCAGCTTGCTTCTCTTATTTAGTCGCCTTTGTCAAAACGTGGAACATCAGACTCCGACTCTTCTGGGTCCTCCTCACCTAAACAATGTATACCGCTACGCAACAGCGGCGTACCTTTGCCTTTGCCCAACGCACGCGCTATGATCATCAGCTTAATCACTGCCTTCGAGTCCTTTGCGTTGACGATGCTCACCATTTCGCGTAGCAGATTTTCCTTGTAGGCAAAAAATTCAATTTGCATTTCGAAATAATCCTGTTCTGGATGATTGACGCCGGCAAACGTCGATATGCGGCAATTTGGATTGCAATTCGACGACTCCAAGGAAGGATGAAATGTGGTGCCCTTATCGAATAAGGAAACGGGTAATTTAAGATCGACCCTGTATCTGTGATTCACTTGAAGGAAACCCAATTTTATGAATATGACATCATCGCAACGATCGTAGGTGACGCTGTGTCCCGATTCGAGATCATCCTTTAGATTGTCCGCATCAAAGTGCACACGGTGTTCTGAAATGAAGAGAAAAGAAGACAGATTTTGTAGATATATGTATATATATTTTATGTCCCGTAAATTATAATAAAAGTACGTAAGATTTATTGTACTAATAAATAAAACAAATATACTTTTACAAGATGGAGTAACTTTAGATAAATATTTCAACCTTTGTTGGAGTTATTGCGTCCACTGATATAATAGTTAAAACAATATACAACCTAGGTTTATTATTAAATGAGTAAGGAAGTGCTAAGGTCGAGCAGAACAGAAAATTATGCGATAATGTGTACAATATTGACCGACATACTTAATGAAATAAACTCGACCGGAGACAGCGCACCATTATTTTTGGTTGTGAAATATGGAATATCACCAAAAAGTGCGATGTCCATTGTATTATATTGTCAATTACCTGCATAAGGCCACCTAATGTGTTACGAAGGTTTAAAAAATACTGTGGACCGATTTTGGCAAAAAAAAAAATGTACATGAAGATGGTTTGACGTTGAAGTGACTTATCTCCTAAACTATTAAAACTTTTGAGTTGCACCCAAAAGTGAAAAAATACCATTTTATTAATTTTCATAATGTAATTGAACTTTATTTTTAAAAATCCTTTTTTCTCCAAAAAAAATAAAAAATAACTCCTTTTTAGATGACCAAAAAAAAAACCTTGTACGGTTAGCATAATTGACATTTAACACTCTTTAAGGCATATATGCACCTTAGTCCTCTATCATGCTTTGCAATCTTGTATTCATAGAATGCACCAAATTTTGGGTAGTTCCTCAATCAATAAAGCAGAATGTTTCGGGTCGTTATAAAGCAGTAGCCAACATTTAAACTAAGTTTAGTTGCTGACGGAGCCAAATTATTTTTTAATATTGCCTAGTAGACCATTCTTTAAAATTCATTCATCCATTCTTTTCTTCGATGAAAAAAAGGTTAGCGACAAGAGTTACTGCTATTGCACACCTTTGGCTTGCATTGCATCACACAACACACAATGTAGCCTCCTCCATGCTGACAGTCTTATTTAAATTTTTTATTTTTTAGCGTTTAGCCCTCCTTACGCCATGCAAATCAATGACGATCACATCCAAATAAGTTATATTTGGACTCAACGCTAAAAATTACAGAATTACAAAATTCTTTATCACGATGAATATACACTTTGAAATATAGTAAACGTTTCGCAACATTTCTCTTCAAAAATTGTGGCTTCTTTCTTGGTGTATACGCTTTAAAATCGGGTGAAAGCAAGAAGTTTCGAACAGTTTGAGGGTGGAGGGTGCCAGCTTCCTCAAAATCTTTGGCGTTAGCATATATTTTGGACTTTTAATTGATACTCTGAGCAATTTTACTTTCAGCCTGGCGGCGCGCAAATTTTTTGGGCGTTCCACTACCATCAAGTTTTCCAACTCCACCAATATTTTTGAATTTAATAAAAATTAAAATTTTTTAAATTTAATTTTTATAAAAAATACGAAAAATACACAAGATTCTCATATTGCTACTCTTGGTAGCAGTATAAACGCTGAAATAGTTTAAGAGAAAAATCCATTCAAAGTCAAAAGATCTCTCTGTAAAAGTTTTTTTTGGATCAAGTACCTAAATATCAAGTAAGAAACTACATACTTGTATACTAATGCATTTTTATGTTATTCAAAGTTGTAGAGTACTTTGTACGTAGAATTTTTCTGGCAAATGTTTTTTCAAAACATACATAAGATCCCCGCGATGGAGATCTACTAGTCTTAAATTATTTTCATATTTTTAAAATCAGCCGAATTTGTCATGTGTAAATTGATGCATGTTAATGATTTCATAGTGAAAGAATGCAAATGAATAAAGTGAAGTTTACAATCGAACAATAATAATGGGTGCTGAAGTACAAAACGATTATTTCAACTTGTACGTAACAAACATACATATGTACATATTTTATTATAAGCATAAAAATCAAATTGAAAATTGAGTGTTTCATTTCCATATACATACATACATACAGACGTATACAGAGTATATATAGTAAGAAAGTATACTATTTGTGTATTTACAAAAGTAAATAAATATTTACATATGTTCCGATCATTTTATGACGGGTACTCTTTATAAAAAAAAAAAACGGATAACGCTGATTTTGTAATTAAAAAAGAGGCAAAAAAGATTATTTTTAAATGCATTCAGTGTGTTTCAAAATGAATTTAATTATCAAAAATTTAACACCCACACTAAAAAGAGTAAAAAAAAGTATTATTGGTGTAATAAAAGAATACCGAATGGAAACAGTCGAGCATTAGGTTGTTTGCACACCAAATTGTTTGTTAGTCATAAAAACGATGCATTATGGCTATATAAGGATTTAGACCACTATACCTATATCATAATCAGTATACAATATGTACGCAGGTCTATGGAAATATGCAGTACGAAATTGTGAGTGAACGAAAATTTCGTCAAAGCATGTCGAATTTTGAACACGAACCGATGGGTGGCTGGACGCATAACTAATATCTGGTCGAAACAAGATTTACATACATATATAGGTATATGTAATCTAGGTAATAAAGTACATAACTCGAGGAAAACTTAACCTTTTTTAAAAGATTATATCTTGGTTCAAAAGTTCCTAGCTGGCCCTAAAGTGGCCAACTCGTCTGCCTCTTCGTTTCCTTCTATTCCTATATGACTGGGTACTCAGATGATTTTCATCGAGTTTTCCCACTAAGAATCTAGTTATTGCCTTTTTTCATAACCTAACGGGTGATACTTTGTATACGCGCTACGGATAGCCTTAATTTTCCTTTTATTGTTCACTGAAGTAGACGCAGCAAGTAACCCAAGAACCGAACTCTATAGAATAGTTAAAGCATTTTACATCATTATGTTTTGCGACCTGTGTGAATGTATGGATTAGATCAACAAGTTTTTTAAAAAGTCAGAATGAGTTACAGGTCTCATCAACCCATCCACGTACAGAAACTACTTCGTACGAATTTTGGTGGAGATCATCACCGTCAGCAACAAGTAAGTGCATTAAACTCGAGTTCTTGAGGTCTAGATTGTTCTATGGCATCGTTTTGTTAAGGTAAGATGAATTTATCTTAAATATACTTGGAACGATTCTACATTTTTTTCCGGCCACTTCTTTTTTTAGGCGAAAGTCTTTACCAATACTATTGAAGAACTAATTTTTGTGAATGAAATATTTTTGCGTGGAATATGCCTTTATTGGTATTTCACGGCTGTGTAACTAAAAGCATACAAACGGTTATAATAAAAAACGCACTAGATTTTCTATATATGTACAGGTTGGTTTAAAAGTTGGTAGTTTTCCCCAAGAAATAGCACTACTAATTCCAAATTTTTTGTTTTTCTCAAGTTGGTACATCTGTCGTGAAGACACATGCAAAGTTACAAGTTATTCTGCCAATTAATTCTTTGTTTACAAGCCATTTGAAGTTGACGTGTCAGAGTATTTTTTTAATATGGAAAAAATTGAATATCGCGCAGTGATTAGATTCTTTATTTTGTAGGGTTGAAAAAAGGAAATTTATGAATAATTGTTAGAAGTGTATAAGGAGTCGTCAGCTTTAAAAAACACCGTTGCATTTTGGGCTATTTAATTACAACGTACTCGTACTAAGCCTGTAGACGATCCCCGCGAAGGACGACCAAAAGCCGCAACCACACCAGAAATCATTCAGCAAGCTTATAATATTGTTAGGGAAGATTCAAGTTTGACTCAGCGTGAAATAGCTAATGCCATAGGCATATCAGTTGAACAAGTACTTCATATTTTATAAGAAAAAAGCTGTTTGGAAAGTTAGTGCCGCACACGCTAACAATTCAACAAAAACTGGATTGAAAACAAATTTCTCAGCATAATTTGGAGCGTTTTAAGCAGCATAAAACCAATTTCTTGCGTCGTTTTATAACTATGGATGAGTCTTGGATCGACCACCATGATTCTATATTGAAATAAGAATATTTACAGTGGACTGAAACTGGTTGCTCAGCTCCAAAGCACGTGAAGTCACAACGATCAGCAAAGAAGGTTATGGCATCAATTTTTTGGGATGCAAAACTGATTTAGTTGATTGATTTTCAGCAGAAAGGTAAAACAATCAACTCTGAATATTATTGCAGCCTTTTGAATCAGCTGGATGAAAAAATACGTGAGAAAAGATCCCGGTTTCCAACACAGAAAAATAATTTTTCATCAAGACAATGCATACAGGCATACAATTATTGTAGGAGCATTGGAATAAGTGTATTGAAGTTAAAGGAGATTATATTGAATAAAAAAATAAATTTCGTATCAAAAACAGTATTTTTTCATTTCGAGAGAAGAAACTTTACAACCAACCTGTAGGTATACTAAATAATATATGCACTTCTGTATTAAAAAATTAATTGAAAGTGTAAACAAAATAAATTATTTAAAAAAAAAAACGTTATTTCATGAGCATATGTGGCCTTTTATTCAAAGCTTTTCAAAATATTTACATAACTTCCATAGACAAAGTATGAATAAAAACTTGACTAATTGAGCAAAATGAGCATTACATTTTACTATGCGGAAAATATAAACAATGAATGGCAAAATAAAAGTTCAAGTTCATAATGAAAAGAAAACACACTTACAAACACAAACCCAAATTAAAGATTTTACAATGCTGAAATAAAAAATGAACCATTGCGTGATGGTTAATCATCAGACGACCAGATGTTGCATTGTGTCTGGGGCCACAGGTGGGTGGGTGGTTGTGTGTAGCTGGCAGCTAGACTGGCGCGCTGTTATTCCATAGTAAGCGAATACTATTTCGATTTTGGTAATTATGTATATGGTGGAGGAAGGTGGGAGTTTTGGAAAATTTGTTAGAAACTAAACGAAAATAAGCACGCGATGCTCACTAAGTACTAGTGAAACAACAACAACGAGACGATATGAATACGTTCTCGAAGTTAAGAGTTAGTTAGTAAGATATTAAGTAATTATATGTAC